CGCGTTTTGCGTACTAAATTATAAGTCGGGTATGTTTTATAAGTGTTAACAAATTCTGTGGGGATGATACTGTTGGTTGACGTTTCATCCACCTGTGATGACATGAAATATTATTGAAACGGTTAATTCTATAGAGTGTTTTAATTCTATAAAGTGTTATAAAGTCGTTTGAATCCGTGACTGTAAAATAAATAAGGAGATTGGCTATGGGTTTTTCTCATTGGTGAAGGCTGTGCGATTGCCTATAATTGCTTATCCACTCCATTTGAACTTTGGTGGATAGTTGTCTAATTGGCAATCATACCACATATTTATATACGATTGCCAATAAGACAATTAATCATAAAGACAAAATAACAAAGATAGAACAACTACAGACCACCTTGCGGACTTCAACAATAAACAAAACCCATACCGTATAGAAAACTATATACAATAAAGATGTTCTACCCCATGCATGGCATAGATAGCCTTACCCAGATTTGGCACAAATTTATAGATTTTTTTGTTCAATGCACACCAACTTCGTATTTGGTTTGCCCTTAAAATTATGATCTGCTTTCGAGAGAAATTGGTCAGTCTTTTGTAGTACTACATTATAAGCCTGGTATCTTTCATAAGTCAGAGTAGTCTTACAACCACTATGTCGATGGAACTGTTGACAGACGTTAATTTCCCGAAAGTATTACCAAGGTGTAGCCAATGATACTCCTGTACCGTCCTAACTTGACAGTGGTGGATTCAGTGTCGTAGAGGGCGTGTAAAAATAATATCTTATTGGAAAACATCTTGTGGTCAACATATATAAATTTACCTGTCTGCCAAATATCAACAGTTGAAATTAATATCCTTAACAATTCTGTGATTGAAAAGTTTCTTATATAAGGTATTAGTTAAATCGTACCAAAGATGTAGACAGTATATTTTATGGTCAATACGGAAATGTGCCACTAGCACGATATGTGAGGGCTATTGTACAAATCCATATATATGTTGACCACAAGATGTCTTCCAAGTGGCGGATTCGGGTGGAGGGGAGGCGTACACCCCTTTTTGTTTGGAAAATATATCAATTTTAGCATAAAATCGTCAAAAAACATACTAATATTTTTATATCGCCCTTTTCAAAAATCCTGGATCCATCCTGGGTCTATTATACTAACTATAGTATAATATTCCCAGATCCATCCCTGATAGAACAAAGTAATTAAACCGTCAAAATCCACTAGCCCATAGTAGAACTATAAGGTTGCGCTCAAATCAACCGTGAAAATAAAGTACTAACTACAGTAAAACCAAACCTAACTAAAACAAAAGAGGGTACCTGTAAAGTGCGAAACGAAATAGAAACGGAACGGAACAAAATAACGCAATACGAAACGAAATACAGTAAAACGAAACGAAATGAAACGAAATAAAAATTTATTCTATAATTTTAATAATTTTAACTTAAACCTCTGTCAAATGTCTTATAATACGTTATGTTTGTGTGTTGCAGAGTTTGCATGCATCTGAATTTCATTGTTGTAATTGGAACAAATCAAATGAAACCGGCAGAGGGGCGAATGTTTATTTTCAGGGGAGGGTTTGGGGGGAGGGTCGTACATACCGACGCATACTGTCTAAGTGTTAAGTTTTCACACGTCGTTTTGAATGATAAAAGTTTTTACGCTAAAATATTACCCTAGAAAGAAAAAAAGGGTGCTGAGATAAATAATATAAATGAGACTATATTTCAGAACTGCGATTTTGAGGACACGCACGTGGGTCTCAATCTAGATTTGGCGTTTCTATGACTAAATAAAGGTATACACAGACGTGTCGCTAGTATGGGTCCCCTTTTTATATTAAAATTATATTAATGGCATACACTAATTTCACTGAGGTCAAAATATCAATGGGTCAGTAATTTTCATCCTCCTTATTATATAAGATGTTTGTTTAAATGCTATTTTATCGTTTTTAATCAAAATAAGATATCAAAACTTGTACTTGGATGGAGAGTTGTCTCATTGGCACTCATACCACATCTTCTTATTCATATTGAATAATATGTGATTACTGAGAAAACTATGACTGGGTCAAGATTTTGCCATCGCAAACATAATAAGTGTCGTGATTTTTTCACTTTTTTTCTCAGAGTCTTAATTTATGAATTGTTTTATGTTTTCCCAGCTGCACTACTGTATCCAAAATCCCATCCCGCTCCCCATGATTGAGAAATGACCTTCATTAAATGAGAGTAGCTTGAAAGATTTTGAAGCAAACTATTTCAATCCTAATATTATTGAAAATTAATAGTTTTGGGCTAAACGTTGGGGAAGTTTTTTTTTTTTTATCATTTGCGGATTTACCTGGGACATAAATAGATATGATCGTCCTAATTACTTATAATCCCCCCTCCTTTTAGCCCTCCCACCCAGGAATTTACCAACACGTACTGTTGCACCCAAATTAAACACAAAATGAAAATAAATTTGACCTTTTAAAAAACTTTATGATCTCACCCCAACATATTGAGAAATAAAGTTGTTGATGCAGTTGAAACTTATCATACTTCTGACACAAACTATGTATGCACTTAGATTTCGTCGACCAACTAAACTGTCGCCTCCGTCGTAAATAAAAAAAGATACACGGTGAATCTATGTTCGTAAACGGAAGATACTAGTTTATTATTTCCTAGCAATGCGCAATTTACTATCCATGTCTAAATTCTAGGATTTTTTTTCAGGATACGGACATGGATAGTAAATTGCCCACTGCTAGGAAGCAATGAACTTAGATTTTTCAGTATAGGACATGCATATTAAATTGCACATTGCTATAACACAATGAAATATCCGTACCAATGTTAAAATCGTAATACAAATAGACAGGAAGTATGAAAAAAAGTTCAAAAAGCATTGCATAACAAATATATCCGCGAAACGTATATATTTATAAAGGTGCATATCACGTATGTTTACATCATTGTTGTTTTCTGACCTGAAAATTCTCATAAAACTTATCTGGTGCATCTATCTCCTCTACAAAGTTATATTCGTATTTCGCAGACTACTTCTTTGTAAATTGGAAAAATATGGGCTTAGTCCATCTGCTCTTGAATTGCTCAAAAGTTATCTGACGACAAGAAAACAGTGTGTAAAAATAGGACAGAGTATCAGTCAAATTCAAGATAACTCTAAAGGTATTTCTCAGGGATCTATATTAGGCCCTGTATTATTTAATGTATTCATAAATGACATCTTTCTTTTTGTCAAACACTAGTTATATAACTATGCTAATGATAACACCCTCTCTAAATCAGGTACTACTTTGGAATCAGTAATAAAACCTTTAGAGGAAGATAGTAACTCCCTATTATCATGGTTCTCTTTCAACAAAATGCAGGCAAACCCAGAAAAATTCCAGGCAATTGCCATAGGTTAAAAAACACTCAAAATATGGTCTTCAACCTAAATGGATTCAACATAAAATGTGACGATGAGGTGAAACTTCTAGGTGTAACAATAGACTTTAAACTGGATTTCAACACTTACATTTCAAATATATGTAAAAAAGCCGCACGACAACTAAACGTACTAAAAAGAATCGGCACTCATCTCACCAGACTTTCTAAACTTACAATATACCACTCATTTATCTTGTCAAACCTCAGCTATTGTCCTCTCACATGGCACTTCTGCAGTGAACAAAACACAAAGAAAATAGAAAAAATACAAGAAAGAGCACTCAGATTCATTTATGATGACTACAAAAATTCTTACGATACACTCCTTGAACAGTCTAAGGGAGCTACCATTTGATATTTATGGGGGGGGGGGGGGGGGGGGGGGCTAGGATGAAAAATTTTGTCCTGCATTTTTTTTTTTTTTTGTAATCTCTGTCCTGCCTTTTTATTTTTCACTCTATTCGGTCCTGTCTTTTTTTTTTAGTTTATCCTGACTTTTTTTTTTACATAAATTGTCATCCTGCCTCTTTTTTTTTTGCAAAGTGTCTCATCCTGCCTTTTTTTTACTCAAAACTCCTGTCCTGCCTTTTTTTCAAATTTCATCCTAGCCCTCTCCCCCATAAAAATCAAATGGTAGCTCCCTAAGCTACCAGCACCTAAAAATCAGAAGAATGAGAACCATGGCATTAGAGACTTATAAAATAATTAATAAATCAAGCCCAGAATTCCTACATAACTTAATAAACATTAAAGAAAATTCATATAACTTCAGGTACAAAGGCATAGCGGATATACCACGGCCAAAAACAACAAGGTATGGTAAGAAAAGCTTTAGTTATGAGGCAGCAAGACTGTGGAACTCCTTGCCAAATGAGACAAGGAGCTTATCAACTTTTGGCCTGTTCAAAATTTTTATCTCCACCTGGTGTTTTTCAGAAAGTTGTACCTGCAGTTCTTGTAAATAATGCAACTCCTTGCTGCCACATGACTTGACTTTGAAGCCTGCTGTTTGTTTTGTGTTTTTTATTTTTTATTTTTTTGCAGTTATTTTTATTTATTATTAATTTGCTTTGCTTATGCATTACCTGTGCTGTAGCTGCTTGCAGTCTTTTGTTTGTGCTTTATAGTGTTTAATTTTGCATGTGCTACTTGGATACATATATATATTGTGTGTTACTATGTGCTGATATTTGACATTTGCTTTAATATATATCTTGCTTAGCTTTTATTTTGCATGTGCTATCTATGTATTAACATGATTAATACATGTATGTGCTGTCTGTATGTTTGTGTTATCAGTATATGAATCTGATGTTATTACATGTATGTTTTGTTTATTAATATCAGTCGGTTAAAGAGCTCTTAAGAGCTCATGTTCCTTGTTATCATGTATATATGCAACCCGACTTTAAATAAAGATTACTTACTTACTTACTTACTAACTTACTTACTTAAAGTGATAAAAAAACATATGTAAGTTGAGTGCTCCAAATGTAGGAGGGCAATACCAGAACATCAAAATCAGTTGCATTTTCATCGATTCACTCCCTTCACCAATGGTGCACCTTTGACTAACGATGACCGAAAAAAATGAAAAAGACCTATTCGATAAAATTAAAACTAAAAAGTGGGAAATGCAAAAACTACCAGCAGGAAGCAGCTTAGGGTGTTTATTTTCTTGGATTGGGTAAATAATTTAGTCCATTGGTTTTCTTTTGGCTTTGGTAAATGCCTAGAAAGAGCCATTACGAAACGACTTGGAACCATCGTGTCCATTTACACTACTTTTACTAAATAGTGTAAATGGAAGTCGTTTCGAAACTGCTTCATACAAAAAAGATTTTCTTGGAAGGTTACATTTGATATTTTGTTTTGACAACTCTTGTGAATGCAATTACATAGAAATGTACAATTATCATGATTATGGTGGAGTGTCTTTTTACCACAGAAACACCACAGAATACCACAGAACACCCAAAATATACCACAGAACATAAAAACAAACAATAAAACTACTTAAATATACAACATAACATTGAAATAACTTTACAAAACGCATGAACTATTGATTAGACGGTAGGTCTTTTCACCACCGAACACCACTGCACACTGCCGAACACCCCAAAAATTAATTTTTTTGTCTATCGTTATAAATGTGACCTAAATATAATATTTAAGTTATTATTTCAACAAGTTATATTAAATAACGTTAAGATATTAAATATCTACATTGAACACAAACAGAAAAGGAGAGTCGCTTTCATGTCGATCCGGCCCCGAGTCGATCCGGCCCAAGTCGATCCGTCCCAAGTCGATCCAGCCCCAATATAAAAAAAATATCTATAAGGTATAAAAATAAAGATATATATGAATTGTAATTCATAAATGTTTATGAATTTTATAATAATATAAAACATGAACGGTAAAGAAGTTGGCCATTGACGAATATTTGGATATTTAATTGTCATAAGATTAGACATTTGTTTGAATATTTTTTTGAAATTTATATTAAAATTTTATGTAGAAATATAATATTATTTTAATATGAAATATTTGAATTCAAATCGATTTTTCACCTTAAATGAATACGGATGCTTATACAGTATAAAACAATTATGTTGATTATGTTTTTATAACAAGTTTTCAAGACAATTGCGCATGCATAGTTATAATAAAAACATATATAACAGAATTTAGTACGATCATCAGACAGTTGTTGAATAAACAACCCAATTATAGACTATACTGATTTCATTTAAACAAGTCATAATTATATGTTCCATTGGATTGTAAATATCTATTTATCTCTTCTATGTGTGAATTAAATAAAAACTTTTTTCCCCCATGATATTCCCAAGTATCATGGAAAATAAATTTATATGTACATGCTGATGCTGGTTACAAACAGTACCAATCATACTCATTTTCATGTCGATTTAAAATAACAATGTAATTTTAAAAGTTACTCCAATATAAGGCATATCTCACTAACCTGCTGTCACATGTCATTAATCATCGATACTTTTTACAAATTCCATTTATCCTGATTCAAATATGTCACCACTGTGACCAAATCCTCCGAAGTTTATATAAATTATTCATTATTTTACGATGGGGCCGGATCGACATGGGACGGATCGACTTGGGCCAGATCGACTTGGGGCCGGAACGACCTGATACCAGAGAGTCTATAACATTACAACTCTGCAAACCACCGTCATGGACACCTCATATTTTTTCTTCATTTATTTCTTCTTCTATAAAATAGTACCAATAACAAGAAAAGAGACAAATATCAAAGTCTAACCGATGAATAGAGATCGAGGAGACTTGAACTGATTACTAATTATGAATATATTTGAATTTTATTTGAAATGACTATTAAGAAAAGCACGATTTTAATCAATTATGAATTACATTTGATTTGTCTTGTTTTTTACCTACTAATATAAGTTTTGTTTATTTCATTTTTGTTTGGAAAATGTTTGACTAGTAAACAGGCAGGGGTACCATACTACTTAAACAAGTGATTTCAGAATCACTTCTTCAAGTGATTTTGGCTGTGAAATATTAAAAATTTTCACAAAAATAGACACAGACTTTTTAAAATCACTGAAACAAATAATTTGAGAAGTTAAAATGTAATCACTTCACGGCTTAGCCACAATCAGATGTACATTTTGTGTTTCACATGAAGTCAAAAATGAAGATCACATCAGGAAAAAAACCTTTTGATATTTTGGTACAGAAATGGTTTAAATTATGAAAAATAGCCGTCATAAGGCTAACACTTGAAGCATTTATATAAATACATGCAGTTTTTGGAAGAAACATTCAATATTTTTATTTAATTCAAGGTGTTTAAAAACTGTCTAATTTTCTTTAATGGTTGCCTTCAAGACATTGTCGCCAGTTTCAGATTTTTGGCCAATGACAAAGACAACAAAATATGTTTAGAATTATTGAATATCAAACATTTTAATCGAAAAAAAATTGACAAGAACATGTTTAAATCACAATTATTTCAAACAACAGTAGCTTTCTTTGATCATTACTCTGATCTGATCAAACTATATCTACACTTATCTATAAATAACAAAACTTCAAAAAAAAATCCTTTCTTTTGGTGTATAGAACATTAAAATAACTTGATGCATATTCTTACAATAAACAATTAAACTTAACAATACAATTTATATGTTTTGTCTACGGACAAGACATTTTATTGATATTTCAACTGAAATTCATAAATCTGACTGTTTAACATAGTTGAATGTGTTCTCTTAAAAAATAACATACATTTTATCTATCAAATGATGCTGAACCTCGAGGAAATTGGAAACAAATACATTGTGATAATGTCTACGGACAAGACATTTTATTGATATTTAATTAAATGCATTAAAAAAATAATTGTTAAAGTTAAGGTTAAAAGTTACCCATTAAATTTTAAGCTGTGTTTTTTTAATTTTTGGAAAATATAAAAATGTACCCATGATTCTTTACATATCCCAAAATTTTATTGATTAAGCAAGAATTAAGACGAATTCATTCAACTGAAATCCATAAATCTGACTATTTAACAATTAAACTATTATTAAATCTCAATTTTGACATAGTTGAATGTGTACTCTTGAAAAAATGACATACATGTTATCTTTCAAATGAGGCTGAACTCAAAAATTGGAAACAAATACATTGTGGTAATGTCTACGGACAAGACAAATCTGTATACTCTAAAGAAATAATTGTGATTATATTTATGTTGAAAAAACTGAGTTTTAATTTGTACAAAGAACTTTCATCACCTATAAAAAAGATTTAAATTCCAAAGCAGACAAATAATTGAATTAAATACTTGTTATGTACAAGTGTCTTGTCCGTAGACACTTCCTCATAAACTGGTAATCCTGAAATGCAAAAGATAAAGTCAGAGAGAGAGAAATACTATTTCTTCATATGATTAAGTTAATGTTTTAAGTTATGCAGCAACTAGAATAAAAATATTAAAGTAAAATAAGATATGCTTTTTATGACTGACAATTTGCCACTTTTTAAAATCCACTCCTGTAAAGTAATTTTACAAAAAATTAGAACAGTTAAATTTCCATTAATTAATTAAAAATAATATATTTATAAGTTTAAACAACACATAGGAACAATTTAGATCCATAAAGCCAAGCAATATTGATATAAAGCCATGTCTACGGACAAGACATGTGTCTACGGACAAGACATGTGTCTACGGACAAGACATTCTGACATTTTTTTCAAATTCTTCCTCTATTAAAAGATGGTAGAAAAAAGTGTTTGTAGTGTTTTCATATCTACAAAAGAGCAGGAACTTAGCAATGCAACATTAATGTTATTACACTTCCAGTTTACTAGGAAATGCATGTCTCCGAAAAGACATTTTTTCACTTTATTTGTATATCCAACTTTGATGGCATATATCTTCAGCTAGGGTACTGCAATATTGATATATGAGGTAGTGGTTGATAATTTATATACAAGAAGTGAAAAAAAAACACATAATAGCATAAATTTCATTTATTTTTCTCTTTTATCACTACACTGTACAAGGTAAAAACAAAAATACAAAATTGCATAACGAATGCATATATATAGTATTCCACTTTTTATCATACCTTTGTAACCACTGAAGATTTTTCATTGCAACAACCAGCAAAAGAAAGATGAATAAATTGTCTATAACAGTGAACCAATAATGTAGTTCAAATTAGGTTCACTTATTACCTATCAATTGATAAAAACAGTGTATTTTTAAATGAAACAACATAACATGAAATTTTGTCCATTTTTAGCGTGTATTTTAGTGGGTTTTTTTCAAAACAATCACACATATACATGATATTTGATATGCATTGTGAAGCCCTATATTCGCTTCTTCAGTTCAAAGATGTAATACTTAATTTAAGTTCATCTTCTTGTCTATAGAAGCCTATAACATAGACCTAATATGAAATGTACATCTGATTGTGGCTAGGTCGTTCAATAAGTGTTTATAACATTTTCTTGATACTTTTCCCACAAGGTTGATTTTTTTATTGGTAAAAAGACAACAAAACTAACAAAACCTTTAAACAGACTTATTAAGAAGGGATATTATAGTTACGATACTGTTGTCAGGTCATTAAAGATTGCATATTTTGGCTTTAATATTGATTCACTTATAGGGTCTTTGCATCGGAATTAAACATATTTATTCTAAAACCAGTTGTTGGCATGACACGGGTTATGTTCTGGAGCTGGCAGCTGGAGCTGGCATGTCAGTAACTGCTAGTTGTTATTTATGTATTATTGTCATTTTGTTTATTTATTTTTTTTTTTCCTATTCTGACATCGGACTCAGACTTCTCTTAAACTGAGTTTTACTGTGCGTACTGTTGTACTTTTGTTTTTTCTACATTGGCTAGAGGTATAGGGGAAGTGTTGAGATCTCAAAAAACATGTTAAACCTCGCCGCATTTTTGCACCTGTCCCAAGTCAGGAGCCTCTGGCCTTTGTTAGTCTTGTATCATTTTTAATTTTAGTTTCTTGTGTATAATTTGGAGTTTAGTATGACGTCCATTATCACTGAACTAGTATACATATTTGTTTAGGGGCCAGCTGAAGGACGCCTCCGGGTGCGGGAGTTTCTCGCTGCATTGACGACCCATTGGTGGC